GCCATAATAGTCCACATAATCATCAGGAAGCTAGACAAAGCTTCACATACAGCATTCGAGCAGTCTTTAAATGGCAGTCGAAGAATAATGTTTCCAGAAGAATTATTGCGATCCCTGGAAGAAAGATTTCAGGCATTCGAATCAATGCCAAATGGAAACAAAATCAAATTCACAAAACGCGACATCCAGCAGTAGCACTTACAGCTACAGACTCAGGAACAAAATGTATTAAGTAAGTAAGTAAAAGTTTATTAATTTATCACTATTAGAGATATGCTTTTATAACACAATGATTCTCATACAGAGTACATAAAATAGATAGATAGATTAATTAGATTATTTGAGACAATAACTATTAAGTTGTCTGTCTTAATTAAAATTTAATTACGATTCGAACATATTGCAAAAATATACGTGATTATAATAACTAATTAAATACTATAATGATGAAGAAATTTAAAATTCAAACAATTCAGATAAACAAAAAAAAAGAAAAATCGTGAAAAGGTTATGAAAATGAAATAAATAATAAATATAAAAATAGTAATAAAAACAAGGAAAACAGAAAATATATTAATCCTAAAAATAGATATACATAGTATAACGTACAATGGTACATTAAAAAGAGAAAAAAAAAAGAAAAATGCACGTCAGAATCACTCGCCACAATCCATCAGTACATCACGTCTGTATTGCAAACTTTCCCTTAAAAAGGTTACTAGTTTACGCCAGTCTGCACCGTTTAGTGAAGCATAGCATTCAGATGAAGTTAATATGGTTTTGCCTCAGCAGAACCATCTAATTTCACACAGGATAGGGCAGCGCCCCATGAGATGAATGATGTCTTCTTTTTCATACATATTGAAAAGGGTGCAGTTAGTATTAGTTGTTTGTACGTATGAAACATAGTTCAGCCTTATCAGTTCTGTTCTTGCCTTGAATATTAGTGATATCGTCGCGGCGTCAAACTTGTCATTGAAATCATTTCGATTGTTTAGATTATACTCCAACAGCTTATATGTATTTTTTGTACACGTGCTTGTCTTTTAAATTGAGTTCTCGAGCTAAGGTTAATATTTTGAAGTATTTGTGTTTGCCATTGTCGCCACAAAACTGTTTCAGTAGGATAAGGGGAGCTGCTGTATTCTTCACCAAGTGCATCCCATTGAGCAAAGAACTGCGATCTGGATTGGAGTAGGTATTTTACGACGATTTTTGGCAGCTGGTGATCTTGCATTTTCATAACTTTATTGATATAATCAAAATGCAGTTCTAATGTGAATGTATATAATATTGACAGCCCCGATTCGAGATGAATTGCATAAGATGGTGTATTTTGAGGTGACTTAAAAATTTTCTTTATATAAGACCGCAGTAATTTTTCAGCATCATCGGAATGTTGATAGCCTCAAATTTGTGCTGCGTAACACATAATCGATCTGACGGTTGCAACAAAAATTTTATATTTCGTGCTATTACACCCATTTCTTCTACTAAAAAGCTGATTCTAGGTACTATTTAGTGCCACTTTTGAGTCGGAAAGTTTTTGTCGAGTGTGATTTGCATAACTCATGTTCGACGTCATTTATACTTCTAAATATTTGAATTTGTTTACTACCTCTAGTTCTACCCCAATTAAGTTCCAACTATAGGTCCTTGGTTTTCTACCTTTGTTGTCTTTCACAATCATTACTTTTGATTTATCGCAGTTAATTTGTAGGCTCCATGTTTGACAATACTGTTGCAGTGCGTTTATCATCTTCTGGAGTGTTTGGACATCTTCTGCAAGTAAGACCATGTCGTCCGCATACATTAATACTTTAAAACATTGTGAACCTAAACAAACTCCATCAGGCAAAATACACGATATGTCATCTACATATAGCGCTAAAAGTAGTGGGCTTAGAAGACAACCTTGTTTGACACCACGATTTGACTCAAACCAGTCCGATAGATATTTACTTTCCCAAACCGCAGTTGCATTTTTGATATATAAGCTTTGAATTACACTTAACATTTTCGTTGAGTTGCCAATAATACTTAGTTTCAGAAAGAGGCTACGCCTATCGATGGTGTCAAAAGTTGCCTTGAATTCTACTAAAAACATGTATAATTTGCGTTTAATTTGGAGGAACTCCTTTGCAATTGAGGTCAGCACAAAAATACTGTCTGCGGTAGAGAATGATTTCCTAAAACCTGCCTGATAATCGCTCAGTAGGTGATATGTTTCCACCCAGTTGGTTAGTCGGGTAAGAAGAATAGAGGTGAATATTTTTGTGATCACATTAAGAAGAGAGACACCTCTGTAATTAGATGGGTCGCCGACATTGCCTTTTTTAAATATGGGATATATAATGTTTTTTTTTGAAACTATCAGGAACGTTCTCTGATTCAAAGATACTATTATAGGCAGTTGTCAAATATTTTCTGAATTTCGATGCTTTCGCTTTCTGCATAAAATCAGTTGCTTTGGTAATGCACAGCAACAGATTATCAATTTGTATTTGATCAACAGCGCTCGCATATTGATCAGTGATCCTGTCCAGCTTCTTCCTGTATCTTGTCACGTGTTGTTCTCTCCGTCTTAGCTTGGGTAGGAGTTGTATTTCATCCACATATTGAACATTTTGCATGTTGATGTTGATGCATAGAATCATGTGATCGGAGAAAGATTCATTTTGAACCAGAAAATCAGTTACATAGTGGTGCCATTTGCCAGTTATCAAGCAGTAATCGATGGTTGATGCAGCCTGAGCTTTATAATAAGTGTAGCTGCCTTCTGTGTCGCTTCGTGTTCTACCATTCAGTACTGTTAAATTAAAAGACTCACATAGCCCAATGAGTTTCTCGCCGTTTGAATAATGTTTTGTCATTTGCACTTCGAGGAGTATTTGCATATCCAGCAGCTGTATATCTACTTTCAGTTAACGCTTGGCTGCTACCTATGCGGGTATTTGGATCTCCTACGATCATTACGTTTGCTGATTTCAATTGAATAAAGGTGTCGTGCAACTCTTCATAATCTGCAGCCCATTTATTACAGTTGAGATACGTCGGAATGATTATAACATCTTCGTTTCTTATCTTCATTTCAACTACCACCGCATTAAAAATCTTTATGAAAGTGCATCTTAATGATTTATTTAGTAGTTTTTTAATTCCGTAAAGTGTACCACCACCCGCCTGTCCTCTGTTGGAAGTTCTAATCACTGGCACACCGTACAGTAAATGATTTGGACAATACGGTTCGTATCTTTCCAGGTTGGCCTCAGCAAACGTTTCAAAGAGAAAGAAAATGTCAAAGGAATTGACACTTTTTTTTTTGAAATCCATTTATTTTATTACAATCTAACAGGTATGAATTACAATAAGTAATATATATAATAATAAATCGTAATAATAATTATTACAATCTAAAAAAGAAAGACACGTATGGACTATACCCAGTGACATATCCATATATATTTAAAATAAGTGTGTGATTTACATATACATATCTAAAATATCTCTCGATGTTTTCCTTCTCAGCCTTGTAAAAGTGTTGGAAGGCGACATCAGGTGTGTAACCAGCGGATTTGGGTGCATATATATGCGATGAGCGTAATTCTTAAAAATACTGGCTATTTCTTCCTTGATTATCCGAACATGTAATTGTTTATGCAGCTGTTCATTCGTTATATACCAAGGTGCATTTGTGATCATTCGCAATGTTTTCGATTGGAAACGCTGGATAATTGCCAGGTTTGAGTGTGATTTCCAGGTAAGCTTACTATCCAGATGTATGCCCAAGTATTTCGTTTCTACAGCTTGTGGTAATTCAGTATTGTTTATTAAAACAGGCGGGCACGTAGAACGTTTTGTAGTAAATGTTACCTGGACAGATTTTGATTCATTCGGTTTGATATGCCAGTTTTTCATCCAGAGACCAACATTGTTAAGGCAGGTTTGAAGTTTGGTGGAAGCACGGATTGGGTCAACTGATAAAAAAGCTGTCTCGTCTGCAAATGTACCGATAACACTCTCATCGGTAATGGGAAGATCCGCAGTATATAAAAGATAAAGCATTGGTTCCATTGAGATTTGCGCTATCTTCCACTGTGGCGGAATAAATTCCCTTATTATCACAGCGTTAAATAGATGAGTCAGAAATACAAATCCTTTTGGTGGAAGCTGCTGCAAGGCCATGCCTGTGATTAAATCGTATCCAGGAGCTTTTTTTACTTTTAACATTGTTATTATATTCCTAACTTCATTAATAGTATATCTTGAAATTGGAAGTTCCAATTGATAAGACTCTTGTACAAAATTTGTCCTTTGTTTCATGATATTAGGCATATTTTCGTTATCATTTGGTTTAAAGACCTGGTCCAAATGTAAAGCGAATGTTTCAGCTTTTTCAATATCACTTTTTGCCCATTAGTTGTCTATTTTGCGTATAGGTGGTTGATAAGCAATCGGTCTGTTATTCTTTCCAGAGGGAGTAATTTGTATCACATGAAGCGCTTAGGTTTTGGAGGTATAATCTTATTTTGGTTTTGGAGGTATAATCTTATGTATTTATAATCTTATTTTTGCAACAAGAAAACCTTAAAAAATCTTTATAATATGGAAAATGATAATGACGTGGAGCTGCCTCTTCAAAAAGGTTTAACATCAGCAGCCATACTTGAAGTTGGAGATGCAGATGGTGATGATGGTCAACATAGTAGACAACAGCAGCAGCCCAGCGCCAACATTACTCGAATAAAACAACTTAAGTTGCAACAACTAGAAGAGTCGTTGCAGATCAGGGAGAGCTATTTGCGGGAAAAATTTAAAATCCTCACTGCAGATAGTGACGACGAGGGTATCGTGGAATCACATTTGCCTGAAGTTGGGCAATTGCCTCAGCTGAATGCACATCAAGCCGTAGCTGATGAACACTTTTCGCCACATGGCCAACCTCATCTACAGAGTACACCAAGGTTAGTAAATAATCCATCTCTTTATACCTTACAGATCGCTCCCACGCTTACGCCGTCTCAGCTAGCAGCGCGTCAATGCATACCGAGAGATTTGCCTACGTTCCGCGGCGATCCAGAAGAATGGCACATTTTTATAAGTGCGTACGAGCAAACTAAGCAAATCGCAGGTTTCTCCGATTATGAATGTCTAATGCGCTTACAGAGGTGCCTCATTGGTAAAGCGCGCGATGTAGTACGCAATATGTTGGTGTTGCCTAATATGGTTGGAGAAATAATAAACACTCTTCGTATGTATTTTGGACGACCAGAAATTATTCTAAATAAATTAATTGAGAAAATGCGTCAGTTACCGCCTCCAAGGGGTAGGCTGGGCGATTTATTTGACTTTGCAGTCAACATTAATAATGTAGTTGCAACAATTGAGGCATGTAAGCTGAATTGTTATTTTAATAATCCACTCTTATTACATGAGCTAATAAGTAAATTAGCTGAAGATATGAAGCTCAAATGGGCACTACATTCAGCATCAATAGCCGAACCTACACTTCGCGATTTTTCAGCGTGGCTCTCATCTTTAGCAAATGCGGCAAGTAGAGTAGCTACACCTTCTTTTTTAGATAAACCACTAAAAAAGGAAGGACGAGTGCACGTACATCAGACAGCTGAAATGACAACCACGGCAGTTAGGTGTTACATTTGTGGCGGCGGACATAAAATAATGGAATGTGAAATATTCACGAACGAGCCTACCAATCAACGCTGGCGCATTGTCAAGGAAAAGAAGCTGTGCCGACAATGCTTAGGCGAGCATAGGCGTCGCTGTTTCAATAATAAAGTGTGTGGCATTGATGGCTGCAATGCACGACACCACCCCATGCTGCATTCTCGGATAGACCAATCTACGCCAGCAATATCTTCTACAGCTAACAATGTTTCATCGGATATAGTAGAACAAATAAGTTTAAGTCCATACTCAAACAAAGCGTTACTCAACAACCATAATTCATCAGTGAATAAAAACTGGTCATATTGCCGAATTCTTCCAGTTACTTTATATGGCACCAAAAGGACTATTAACACATATGCATTGATGGACGATGGGTCAACACTAACGCTTATTGAAGCAAGTCTAGCCGATGAATTGGGAAACGATGGTATCCAGGATGCGCTATGCATTAATTGGACAGGTAATATCAGTCGACAGGAGAATAACTCAAAAAGGCTCAACTTACAAATTTCTGCCAATGCTCCTCAAGCTAAAAAATTCCCATTGAAAAATGTCCGCACAGTAAGCAACTTACGCATGTCAGCAGAATCTTTTGCAGCTGATAAAATAAAACAAGGGTATCCGCATTTAGATGGCTTGCCTCTAGCAAGTTATACAAATGCTGTCCCCATGCTGATTATCGGCGTAAATAATCCAAACTTAATTTCAGCACTTAAGGTGAGGGAGGGTGGCTGGCAAGAACCCGTGGCGGTGAAAACACGTCTTGGTTGGACAGTTTTTGGTGGTGGTGAATTAAACCACCGTAACAACTTAAACCTACACAAATGTAGCTGTGGACAAGAAGCTGATAGGGAGCTTCATGAGTTAGTAAAGACATTTATAGTAAACGAGAATGTCGCGGTGGCTACCCCAAAAGCAGAATTACTTTCAGTTGAGGATCAGCGAGCAGAGGAAATAATGCGCAAGTGCCAGTTACGCGGAAACCGCTACGTTGTCAATTTGCCATGGAACACCGATACAGTCGAATTGCCAAATAGCTTGCCGATGGCATTACGTCGAGCGGAGTGCTTACGTCGAAAAATGCATGGGGACCCTGAATTGTGTCAAAAGCTAAAGGAACAAATCACTACTTTAGTCAGCAAGGGCTACGCAACTGAGTTGCCACCAGAAGCAATTAACGAGCGAGGTGGGAAGATTTGGTATTTACCAATTTTTATTGTGCGCAAACTACTTAAACCGAAAAAGCATAGATTAGTTTGGGATGCTGCAGCCAAAGCTGAAGGAGTGTCACTAAATGATTTTTTGCTGAAGGGGCCGGATATGCTGCGACCACTTATAAACATATTATTAAATTTTCGTATAGGAAGAATAGCTGTCTGTGGTGACATTGCTGAAATGTTTCATCGAATTCTAGTACAAGAAGCAGATACTGATGCTCAGAAATTTCTATGGTTCAGCGAGACATTTAAAAATATTTGCGTTTATAAATTAAATGTAGTTAGCTTTGGTGCGCGATGTTCACCATATATAGCGCATTTTATTCAAAACCTGAACGCAGAAAGAATTATAGCTAAAAAATTCTAGAGCAGTGTACGCTATTAAAAACAATCATTACGTGGATGACTTTATAGATTCAACAAATTCCATTGAACAAGCAATAGCATTAGCCGAGGCAGTTCGCAACATACATGAACAAGGTGGTTTCCATATGAGAAGCTGGACAAGTAATGCACCAGAAGTTTTAGCTGCGTTAAACGAAAATGGTGAACAGACGGGTAAGTCGTTTGATAATAATATCGACACACTTCCGATCGAAAAAATTCTCGGCATGTATTGGGACCCGAAGTCAGATTGCTTTAAATATGTTTTAAAATTCGTTCGTTTACGTCGTAATGTTTTTGCAGATGAAATTGTACCCACTAAAAGAGAAGTACTTCAAATTTTAATGTCCATTTTTGATCCATTGGGACTGGCAGCTTGCCTCACATCATATTTAAAAATACTTATTCAGGATATTTGGAGAAGCGGAATCGACTGGGATCAACCACTGGTACCCGATCTTATGGGCAAGTGGTTAGCTTGGGTTGCCTGCATGCCTATTTTTGCTAATATTTCTGTACCCCGTTGTTATTCACCATACATAAAAGAAAGTTCATGTGATGTACAAATTCATACATTCGTAGATGCGAGTGAGTTTGCTTATGCAGCTGTATCATACTTCCGCATTAAAGATAAATATGGAGTAAGTATGAGGATCGTAGCAGCAAAAACCAAAGTCGCTCCAATGCGACCGATGTCTATTCCAAGAATGGAGCTACAAGCTGCTGTAATTGGCACACGGCTTATGAATACAATATGTAAAGTACACACATTTGATATTAAAAAGCGTTTCATTTGGAGCGATTCCAAAACGGTGCTAAAGTGGTTGCGTGGTGATCCACGTCAATTTCAACAATTCGTAATGTTTCACATTGCAGAAATTCAAGAAGCATCAACCGTGGAAGAGTGGAGATGGGTACCCACGAAATTAAATACTGCAGACAGTGCAACGAAAACAAAACAAAGTCCCGAATATGTGCAGCGGTGGGTCGAAGGACCAGAATTTTTGCTACAAGACGAGGATAAATGGCCAACTGAGGTGGACTTAGGTCCGATGGAGACCAGTGAAACTCGTGCAAAATTTTCATATCATCGCGAGACACAACCATGTTTCAATTATGAATATTTTTCATCCTGGATCAAGTTGTATCGTGTAGTTGCAAATTGGCTACTCTACATTGGGAAACTTAAGGCTCGTTGTGGCGGTTTCAATGCTACAAACGTTATTTTGACTGTTCAACATATTGAGCGCGCGAAGCTCTTAATATACAAAAGCGTGCAACAGGAACTACTTGAAGATTGGTCGACACTGAAAATGGGGAGAATAGTAGAAAGGAACAGTCCGTTATATAGGTTGCAGGTGTATATGGATAACAATGAGCTCATAAGAGTAAAAAACAGAGCGAGTAACTTTACGAATGAGTGTTGAACAAGAATGTTCATTAACAATCTTTATGTCCCTTACCACTGGTGGGGGGAAACAATAAATGATTGGTGAGACGTTGATTTACTTTCAACAACTGATTTTATTTAAATTGATTTGTTCTTTTATACAAAATAAAATGCAACCGTAATTGCAAAACATACAATAAATAAAATAACTTATTGCTTAATTCGCACAAATTGCTTAATAAGCAATAGTTGCGAATGCTTTACTTATGACCTAATTTTTACTTTTTGTTGATTCGTCAACCAAGAAATTAAGCAACAGGTGTGAGCGATTAACTCATGACCTAGTTCTTAATTTTTTGTTGATTCGTCAACATTATGCCGGCTCTGCGTTGGTATTATGAGTTGGTCTAGATTTGTTAGCCTCAGCAGGTTGTTGTTTATGTGCAAGACCAAGCGACATCGTAAGTGGACGGTGATGTATGATTATTGGCTGATGTTGATGGTATTCTCGGTTTAATGTAACACATGTAATATAAGACTCCAACGAATATGATTATTATTATAGCTGTAGCCCCGATGACCCATTTCTTTCAATATTGATGAGTCATTATTGTTTTCCAAGATATTTCGTTGACTTGGTCCATGTTGTCTTGAGCATCCCTTGCGGAGTACAAAAGCATAGTTGATAAATCTTGCACCAATGGGATAACGGTTTCATTTGTAATTTTATGCATTCTACTGTCAGGTATTGAAATGTTTTGCATGCTGATTGGTTTAACGTGGTGTGTGATTGATTGAAATTCTTTCATCATTCTTCCTTCCAGTTGAATAGTCTTAGAATGTATTACACAATCTGGAGAAATATGAATGATTCCCGTATAATTCAGAACTACTTCTTCACGTTCAATATGACAAATTACATGAATTGTCGTTAAATTTGGTGTAATGAATATCCAAGCATTGGGCGTCCAAAGCTCTTTCCAAACTGGTTGTATAACTTGAAATCTTTTTGACGGACAGTTATCGAATGTTAATTTATTATACAATTGCTTAATTACACAATTGGAACTCTCGTCAATGTTGTAAAATATTGTTGGATGAAGTAACCTAGTACCATTATTCAGCTTGGTTGCAGTCTCCATTTGGCTGATAGTAACGTCAAAATATTTTTTACTGCTATAATTGATGCCAAATGTGGATGTTAACAATTCGATTTCTTGATATATATTCTCATTAATTCTTTCTGGAATCGTGTTGAATCTAACGATTTCATATTCTTCTATATCGCTGATTGTGAAATAACCATAAATTATAACGTTGTCAGTATCTCGAACACATTCCAATCTGTTCATCGGAATTGGTAAGACATACATTTCTGGTCCAATTTTTGAGGAACATCGAGTTATAATATCATTGATTTCATCATGCGAAAGGAATTCATAAATATGACTGCGTTTTAAATATACATTGAAGATCTTATTATATTTTGATTCTACTTCTCGAATGTAATTGGATGCCATTATATATGAATTAAGTACATATATATTCAGTTTATTTCCTTCTCCGATATCATGCCAACCTTGCATCTGACTGATAGCCTGCAATCCTTCGTTTAGTCTTTTACTAAAGCTGTTGATTTTGTTGATGATTTTAGTTTCTGTGTTGTTTACTGCCGCTATTGTGGATATCATGATTCTAGCATTTGATTTAGTATTTTGGATCAATAATTTCTGATTTTGATCCAACGTTTCAATGTCGTGATACACTTCATCGTTTACACCAAAAAGTGTTGTTAATACTGTACCTAATATTCCTCGGGGACTTCTTGTAACTGATGATTCTGCCGTCAACAATCGATCAATGGTTGTTCTTAAGATGCGCCCTTCATGACTTAAATTGGAAACTAAATCGTCACATTGTATATAAGGATTGACAGCCTTTGACTTGGTACACAACATTGTTAATTGGTTTATGGTGCTATTAACGTTCCTTTGATCTTGAATTATGTCACGGATTGGAAATGTGATAGTGGTTCTAAGTGTTCCTCTTTGTATTTTTGCCTTGCCTAATCCTTCAATGAATAATCCTGATTCGGGATATGTTATAGTGGGTGTTGCTAATGTAGTTCCTAATGTGAGATATGCCAAAAATATAGCAAGAACTGTCGATTGTGATTGCTTAGCCGATAACCAGTGTCGTCGCCTTTTAGTAGACTTTGTCGAAACTATTTCTTTATTTCTGATAGTGTTTCCAAATGGTAACATATTTTGAGTGTCTGATTCTGCTTTGATTAATGTTGCTTCTTTAAATAATTTTGGGAACTTCTCCTGGTTTGACGGAATATGACCTTCTTTTACATTATCAGTGATTGGTAGAAGACATATTTTTTGGATTGTACGTTTTACTATCCCCTTTTGGGTTTTAATTGTAGCAACTCGGGTTAAGCCATCTGTTCCTGTATGAACTTCTATAACTCTGCCTAGAGGCCACGTCGATGATATTAATGTTTCGTCTTTCAATATGACTAGTTGACCAACTTCTATATTTGATATGGATTTTGTCCATTCGTATCTCTGTTGTTGAATATTTCTTATATAGTCTTGGAACCACCGTTTACAAAAGTCTTGTTTTATTTTCTGCACAATCTTCCATCTTTTTAGGCTAGTTTCTGTAAAGTTAATAAGACTATCATGCGCTGGAGTCATTAATGACGATCCCACAATGAAATGTCCTGGTGTAAGTGCATTAAGATCTTCAATGTTGTCTGTTAATGGACAGAGTGGCCGTGAATTAAGACAACATTCGATTTGAATTAAGACCGTACTTAATTCCTCGTATGTCAATTTTTGGTCACCTATAATTCTAGCTAGATGATATTTAATGGATTTTACTCCCGATTCCCAGAGACCACCAAAGTGGGGTGAGCCAGGAGGGATGAAATGCCAACGTATACCTGTTTCAGCTAGATGATTCTCTATTTGACGTTTCTGTTAAATGTTGTTTGCACCTGTAAAATTGGTACCATTGTCGCTATAAATATGATGTACTGAGCCACGTCTGCTTATCATTCGTTTGAGTGCTGCTAAAAATCCTTGAGATGTCAGATCTGAAGTTAACTCAATGTGAATTGCCTTTGTTGCCAGACATACAAAAGTAGCTATATACGCCTTATGTATTTTAATTCCCCTGAATTGCGAGCATTTAATGTGTAATGGCCCTGCATAGTCTATGCCGCAGTGTGTGAATGGCCTCGAGAAATTTACTCTTGGTGTTGGTAAACTTCCCATTAATTGAGATTGTCCTTTTGCCTTTATTCGAAAACATTTTAAACATTTATTGATGCAAGCTTTCACAGCGATTGTTCCACGAATAATCCAAAATTTTTCCCGAACGTAGTTTAGCGTCAGTTTTAATCCTCCATGAATCGTATTAATATGCGCCTGATTGATTATGAGTTTGGCCAAAGTACTCGTTGTATGTAAAATTATTGGATACTTTTGGTTGTCAGATAAATCTGCATTTCTTAATCTGCTGCCCACTCTTAGTATTCCTGCACTGTCAACAAATGGGTTTAATGAACACAACTTATTACTTTTCATTAATTGTTTCTGAAGATTAAGCCGTCTGATGTCATCTGAAAAACATTTTTGTGCCTGCTTCACCAATACAATTTCTGCTGCATCGATATCGTCTGCCGACAGATTGTCGATCTTTCTTTCGGATTTCTTTTTATGACAATTATAAACGAATCTAAGACAATAAGCTGTCACTCGAAGAAGTTTGTTTAATGAAGAAAATCGATTAATAATATTTTCATCTTTGGTAACGTCCACGACGGTACATATTGCAGTTTTTCTGGTTTCCGGAATAAGATTCAAATCTATTACTTCATCATTTTCTGGCCAATTTCCTTCATCTTTTATTAGCCAATTTGGACCATGCCACCATAATGTATTTGAAATAAGATTGTCACCATATACTCCCATTGATGGAATATCTGCTGGATTATCTTTTCCTGGAACAAATCTAAATTGCCCTTTAAACGTATCCTGAATATACGATACTCTGTTTGCTACAAACGTAGTCCATCTATTTGGGTATTGCCTTAGCCAATTTAATACAATTTTTGAATCTGACCATGCAATAATTTTACTATAGGTGATCTTGTTATTCTTCTGAATGTAATTAATCAACTTTATCAATAGCACAGCTGCGCATAACTCCAATCGGGCTAATGATACCTGCTTAATAGGCGCAACCTTGGTTTTTGATGCTACTAGGGATATTGTAACCTTTTCTGCATTGATAACCTTTGTATATACAACTGCAGCATATCCTGCTTCTGACGCATCTGCAAATCCATGTAACTCGATTAAACTATTCTCTGAATGTTGTGTCCATCTTTTCATGGTTATTTTCTGAACTGCAGGTAATCTCAATTTAAATTCTTCCCATTGTGCCTGTAGAGTGGGTGGGATCTCTGTATCCCAACCAATTCCTAGCATCCACAATTTTTGTATCATAATTTTTGCTTTAATGGTTACAGGTGACAACCAACCAAATGGATCGAATAGTTTTCCAGCATCACTTAGAATTGCTCTTTTTGTGTATTTTGAGCTGAATGACGTAGTATTTATTTTGAATTCAAATTGATCCAATTTAGGACACCATTTTATTCCTAAAATTTTAATCGCTTGGTCGTTGTTAAATTGCATCTCTAACCCTGGTTCAATGTCTTTTATCTGGATATTCGTCAACATTTCCGGTTCGTTTGATGCCCATTTTCTTAAGTTAAAACCTCCCTTCCGCAATAATTGGATTAATTCTTCTTGTACTTGTTTACACTCTTTAATCGTATTAGCGCCTCCCAAACAATCGTCTACATAAAATTTTTCATTTAAGGTTTCACTTGCCAAAGGATAATTAATTCTCTCGTCTTCTGCTAGCTTAAACAACGTCTTGATGGCAAGATATGGTGCTGATGCAGTACCATATGTAATCGTGTTCAAACTGTATTCTTTTATTGGTTTTTTCTGA